TTTTTTTTTTTTTTTGGTTATTTACTTTATAAATGTCCCAACTTCTTAAAAATGTAGACGTCTAAAATGATTTTTTGATTCAATACATATATTTCAAATAAATTATATTTTGTTATTACTTCTTTCCTTTTTCTTTTTTATTTTTAAATTAAGATGCTTAATTCTTTCATCTAAAAAAATTAAATCAATCTTTTTTCCTTGAAAATAAAAAATACGGTACATGTATAACTTTATGCATCTTAAATTATATATCAAATATTATGCATTTCCCAATATAAAAGAAAATAGGTACCAGTATAACTTTATGCATGCCTTTGTTTTTTTTTTTTTTTTTTCCCCTTTGTTTTATTATTTTTTTTTCCTTTTTATGTTGAGAAATGCATAATATTTGATATATAATTTAAGATACAAAAAGTTATACTGGTACCATATTTTTATTTTTAAGGAAAAGAGATTGGTTTAATTTTTTCAGATGAAAGAATTAAGCATCTTAATTTAAAAATAAAAAATAAAAAGAAAAGAAGTAATAACAAAATATAATTTATTTGAAATATACGTTTTGGATAAAAAAATAATTTTAGACATCTACATTTTTTAGAAGTTGGGACATTTATAAAGTAAATAACAAAAAAAAAAAAAAAGTGAACAATATAGAGGTTTTTTTTTTTTTTGTTACCTTTTTTTTTTTATGCATAAATTGTTCATGAGGGTAGATTGGTCCAATTTATTAAATTGTAAAGTTTAAAAAGTCTCTTAAACGGTCAAAGGGTAATTTGGTCAATTTCTTATGTAAAGGGGTGTCTTTGTCCATTTTTGAACCTTCAGGGGGTATCTTTGTCCAAAAAATAAGTTAGTTTCATTTAAATGTCATTTTGTCAAACCTAAGGGGGTGTGACTGTACTTTACCCTAAAAAGAATATGAACGTTTTTTGTATACCTTTTCAAACGGGATAAAACCCCTATTAAGAATAAGGGTGTTCATTTTGAAAGGTGATGAGCCACTAAATTACAAGTCCTTGACTATTAATTAATTAAATGATGATTAGACTATTAGTATTTAAAGTACAATAAATATGTATATACGGAGTATATGTATAAATAAATAAATAATTGATCTCTACATTGTGAAAAAAAAAAAATAATAAATAAAAAAAGAATAATAAATAAGTGCTTTTAAGTGTTGTTCACGTTGCTGCACACTAAGATATGGTAAAAGAGTAAGATAAAAGACAAATTTTACATGTGACAATTTAATATATATATATAATGTATATAATAATTACTCTCAAACTTAGATCTACATAGGGGCGGGATCTCATTCCCCATTCTCATACCCGCTGAATTTTTCAATCCCCATCCCCGCTCCTATCCTTGCTTAAAATTTCACCACCACCCCCATACTCGCCCCCGCCCCCGACCCCGACCTCTTATCCCCAGCCCCAGCCCCGATTAATATATATTATTTTTTAAAAAAAACATAATTTTTCTTATTTTCATATATATAATAAATCTAATTTAGTAATAAATTATTAAATATAAGGGTATATTAGTAATTTAATACTTAATCGGAGCGGGGCGGGGCGGGTTTTCAAAATTTATCCCCATCCCCATCCCCGTTTACATAAAAGGATCCCCATCCCTATTATAAACAGGGCGGGACGGGGCGGGGCGGGGACCTGGCGGGGATGGAGATTTTGCCATCCCTAGATCTACATGGTTGTACTTGCGAACATACACGTGTCACACGCATTGTAGCATCCTAATTAATTGGAGACGTGGTTAATTTCATAAACACGAAATAAGTTACTGAATTAAAATTGGGCGGTGAAGAAATAAAACTATAAATGTAGTACATATATATTAATAAAATAAATGAAATCCCATAAATAGTGTTATACAGTATCAATATGACACTGTATAGTGTATGATGTTCATTAAGAATATGACGTACTACTCAAACTTCCAAAGCGTAAAGTAGGCCTAACATTAGCGAAGGAAATGAAGGGTAAACGCCAATATTGTAGTTGGATTTTTAGTTTAAAGTATTCTATTTATTTATTTATAATTTGTATGGTGCTTTAATATAATATTCAAATGGATTTTACGTATGATATCCCATTTTCCTCATAATTGTAGGACGAGAAAACTACTTTTCAACCAGATAAAAAAGTAATTTATTTATTAATGAAATCCATACCTAATAATAGTTGACGTACTCAACTAAAGATATCCCATTTTGTATATATATATATATATATATATATATATATATATATATATTGCAATTATGTCTTTTTATTTTATGTAAAGTGCATAAAATGAAGGAGTTAGATGTTTTTTTTATTCTTTTCGGCCATCCTTAAATTTGAATAAGTGACTTCACCATGAAATAAATCATCACATTTACGGTCCAACCAAATGGGAGAGAGGAATTCACCCTTCCCCTACATCGCTGAACTCCTATTTTGGCAGTTAACCCCCTAATTTTTTATTTTTTATTTTTCTAAATCCCCCAATTTGTTACTCTTCTGATAATTTGACCAACTAAATTTTTTAAAAAGATAATATTACTGTGGAGGGAAAAATCTCCCTCCAATGAGAACAATACACGTCATCATAAATATAACTTCATTTTCAATAAAGGTCAAAGCCCATTTCGTCAGAAGACCAAGTTGAATTGGTCATTAGCCCAAAACTACCGCTATCTAACTACGGGCTTTACTAAAGCTCGAATCAAGACACCAGCAGTCATGTATACCAAGTTAGATGTGGCCCAAATCCATTTAAAAAAGGAGCCGGTCCTACAAGAAAAAGGATTCATCAAAGGAATAAGTACTGTGTAAGGAAAATCCGGAAAGGGAAGAATTATAAAGAGGAAATAATTCTATTTGTAAAGAAATTGATATATGGAAAGAATTAGAGGACAAGCAACGCGAGTCCTGCCATAATTCTTCTAACTTTTGTATATAAATAGAGGCCCAGACCTCCAATAAAAGGATCCAAGCAATTCTACGATTCTCTAGACACTGTTCTTATTTATTTTTATTGTTCTTGAGTGTGTTGTATTATTTTTCTCAATTGTTATTGGTTGAGTAGAATTTTGCACTTACACTTTGGCGCCGTCTGTGGGAAACGTGTGTAAATATATTCCCATTCTTGTTTTTGTTTTACAAGTGAATCCTGCAGCTAACCGTCCAGAATGTTGAACGGAGGATCTTCAATAGATCAACAGACAGAGTTGATGCAAAAGATGCGTGAAGAGTTTCTGCACCAATTTGACGTACTTCGTCAGGCAAACGAAGCAAGCATTGCTCAGATCGCCTTGCTTCAACAGCAGAATAACGCTCTACAAACGACGCTGGCTCAGTTGGCACCACCGCCACCAGTGGGTGACACAGCAACACCCCCTAGTCAGAATATTCCTCCGATTACTGGACTTCCGCCTAATGGGGTTCCGCCTAATGGGGTACGACCCAATGAGGTTCACCCGAATGAGGTTCAGCAGCAACGGAAGGCAAGATCCGAGGCTGCGGCTTCAGATAACGTCCCTCGTCCACGCAGGATGAGCAGGTCGAATCCAGCCATAAGCTTACGGTGTAGTTCAATGGAATCCCAAATGGTGCAGGCGTCCAGGATACCTTTGACGAGAAGAGACTCCTGAAGATTCAAACACCTGCCGAGATGGCTAGAGAACACAAAAATTCATTAATCAAAACTCCTTTCACTGACGATGTGTATCTGGTAGAGAGGCCCAAGAAATTCACCATGCCTTCTTTCACCCAGTTTGATGGAATAGGGGATCCTTCTCAGCACCTAGATCATTATGCTCAAAAGATGGCTTTGGATGATCGTAATGACCCTTGGATGTGCAGAGTTTTTCCTACCAGTTTGACAGGAGCAGCACTAGAGTGGTTTAGGAATAGACCGCATAAATCCATCCCGGATTACGTAACTCTATGCACCATGTTCCTGGCACAGTATTGCAGAAATAAAAAGCAAAAGAAAAGCATTGCCAGCCTCTTCACCGTAAGGCAGAAAAGGGGGGAAACATTGTAGGATTTCTTATCAAGATTCAACATGGAGGCATCAGAAATAGCAGATTGTCATCCCGTAACTGCTATAGAGACATTTAAACTTGCAATGATTCAGGGGACGAAGTTCCACACTTCCCTAGTCAAGTATTCCCCTCCCGACATGCAGACTCTAAATGCCAGAGCCCAGATCTACATTCGGCTTAAAGAAAATATAACCCACCAAGCGCAGCACGCTACCCTCGTGACAGTGGAAAACAAGTCTCGAGAAAGAATCCCAACTCCAAAGATTCAAAAAAGCCAACGTTCCTCAACGCCAGTCACCCAGGCACCTGAAAAAAGGCAAAGGGTAAAGGAAGGATTTAGACCTCTCCGAACTACCTTGGCTCGGCTCTTCCAAGATAATAAGACGAAGTTCACAACTCCGCAGCCAATAAAGCAACCCTTGGAGCAAAGGGACAAAAGTAAGCATTGCGCTCATCATCGAGATATGGGCATTCAATAAACGATTGCCGATCCCTCAGGCGACAGGTGGAGAATATGATCGCCAGAGGTGAGTTAACAAATTACCTCATGACAAAGGAGCATGCAAAGCCCCGCGAGGTCTATCCCCGCAAGGTAGAAGGTACGCAAGTAAAAGTCATCCATGCAATACATAGCAGGTCTGAAGATGATCAAGAGTCCGATGAGGTGTATAAATCTAGATTGAGGGCGACCCACAAGCTCAGGAAGATATCCTCGGTCAATGCTATCAATTCTGGTAGCATTAGTATTGGATTCGGAGATGGCGACCTATCCAGAGTGCAACTTCCCCATGAGGATCCATTGGTCATCAGTCTTTTAGTGGCCAATTGTATGATTAGGAGGGTTTTAGTAGATTCAGGAAGTAGCGCTAACATAATCACAAAGACGGTCTTTGATTAGTTAGAGATCACGTCATCATCTATTCGACCTACCTCTAGCCCGTTGATGGGATTCGATGGCACAAGAGTAGATCCCCTTGGAGTAATAGACTTGTCCGTAACCGCGGCGAAGAGGACTTTGAAGGAGAACTTTGTTTTAACAGAGATCCATCATTCTTACAATCTCATTATGGGAAAAGGTTGGATACATCTGATGAAAGGAGTTCCGTCCACCCTCCACCAGGTGATACGGTGCTTATCTCCGGATGGGAAAGAAGTAATTAATCTGTGGGGCGATCAAGTCGCAGCGAAGGAATGTTATATGCTGACACAAGTTAAGGCGAAGAGGATGTCGACTCAACAGCAACCAGGTGAGGCTTCCAAAACTGGACCCAAATAGCAATTACAGAGCCCACTGCCCAAGTATCTTAAGGGAAAGGAGGAGGAGGAAATCGTGAAGCCCATAGAGGAGACCCTCGAAGCCGTGGAAGTTATCTTTGGTGACCCTCAGAAGGTTACTTATCTAGGCTCTTCTTCCACGTCCGAAGAAAAGGAGGCATTAATTAATGTTATCCGGAGCAATGCAGATGCCTTTGCATGGGATCACTCGAACATGGTAGGGATCGATCCCATAGTTTCCTGCCATAGCCTGAAGGTAGATCCGGAGTTCAAACCGGTCAAGCAGAAACATCGAAGGTTTGCCCCTGAACGCAATCGCATTATAGCTGAAGAAGTAAACAAATTATTGCAAGCAGGTTTCATTCGAGAAGTACAATATCCGCAGTGGTTGTCGAACGTGGTAGTCGTACAAAAGAAGAATAGAAAGTGGAGGGTTTGTATAGATTATACCAACCTCAACAAAGCCTGCCCTAAAGATAGCTACCCTCTGCCCAAGATAGACCAGATGGTTGATGCTACCACCGGCTATGAGAGGTTGACATTCCTAGATGCATACTCGGGATATAATCAGATTCCTATGGACTCGAAGATGAAGAAAAAATGGCTTTTATTACAGAAAAGGGGACTTATTGTTACAGGGTCATGCCCTTCGGACTGAAGAATGCTGGAGGTACTTATCAACGCCTTGTCAACAAGATATTCGATAATCGGCTGGGAAAGACAGTTGAAGCATATATAGATGACATGGTGGTTAAAAGTGTGAAAAAAGAAGATCATCCGAAGCATCTACAGGAAGTTTTCAATACTTTGAAGAAGTACAACATAAAGTTGAATCCATCTAAATGCTCATTCGCGGTATCATCAGGTCAATTCCTCGGCCACATAGTGAATAAAAGAGGGATAGAGGTAAGTCCGGCTCAGGCTAAAGCCCTCATCCAGAATCAGGAACCAAAAAATTGCAAGGAGGTGCAGGTACTTACTGGTCGGATCGCAGCACTCAGCCGGTTTATATCCCGATTGTCAGATAAGTGCAAACCATTCTTCGATACTATATGATCTAAGAATAAAGATATATGAGGACCTCAGCAACAGGAGGCCCTCAGTCGGTTGAAAGGTTACATGGATGAACCACCCATTCTATTCGCTCCAAAACCCGGGGAGGTTCTTATTATGTACTTGGCGATTTCTAATACATCGACAAGTGCAGCATTGATTAGAAACGATGGAAAGAGGCAATATCCAATCTTCTATACAAGTAAGACCATGACAGATGCAGAGACGCGATATAGTAAAGCAGAAAAAGTTATCTTAGTTTTGATCTACGCCAAGAGGAAGTTTCGGGATTATTTTGAATCTCATAGCATTATGGTACTCACCAACTATCCTATACGGGGTATACTCTCTAAGCCTGATTTATCTGGGAGAATTACCAAGTGGGCTATCGAGCTTAGTTCCTTCGACATAACCTATGAGCCAAAGGTGTCGCATAAAGGACAAGCCGTAGCGGATTTCCTTCTCGAGTATGAAGATACTGGTGCGACCGAGCGTGTGCACAAAATAATGCACAACACTTTAGGTTTAGAAATAATGTCAAGTGGGCACCATATTTTAAAATTTATAAAACCACTAAACACTTATACTATGGAGTATGAAGTGAGCAGGGATCGTCCCAAGAGATCTAAACAATTATAGGTTTTCCAGAATTGAATTCTACTTTAGTGCTTATGTGATTGCCAAAAGAGTTTTGTTTGTGATTAAAACTAATTTTAAACTAAATGATTGCAATAAAGAAATATAGTTTAAGAGATTGGAAAGAGACTTAGGGTGTAGGATTCACCACTAAGCACATTCCCTAACTCACTCACTTTCAACTAATTGGGGAAATAATACTATGTAATCTATATGTGGCTAACAAGAGCAATGAAAAGTGTAAACCATCAATTTCAAGCATGAATCAACTACCTAATGACAATTAAACTAAGTGTAGTGCAATTCACCCATTCAAAGCATGATTTATCAATCCAAGTTACAAATTTAACACACATTAATCTAGAAGATAATGCAATTGTGACAAAAAGTATGGAATTCAAACATAAGTATGGATGGTCTACTTACCTAATAATTGAATTGCAATTAAATTAATTAAACTTAAATTAAACTAATTAAACATGAAATTAAAACTAATTAAATAACAAATTAACCTAAACATGTAGTACCATCCATCAAATGTAAGCATTTTTCATCAATTTGAAACACAATTACAACTAAGCAATACAATGCATAGCCATCACAAGAATCAATTAACAAAGAATTCGTGTGTAAAATTTGTTTATCAATCAACCGCACATAAGACAATATGAGATTAATACAGATAATCAATTGGAAGAATTTAATTCATAATATTCAAGACTATACACTAATTACATAAATTAATCCCCAAAAAGTATGAAAAGAGAGAGAGAATAGGTTACATGCTTAGGGTTTATCCAACCCTAAGTAGAAGAATCAGCCACTCATGGTTGATGGAGTCGAAGATAGGACAATCCCCATCATCTGCTTCATCTTCTCTGAACTTTTCTTCCAAATCCTAGCCTGTTCTTCTTTTTCCCTTTCTTCGCGTGTTTTTCCAGAGAGAAAATACGATACTACGATACAGAAAAAAAAATAAAATAAAACTTTCTTTTTTTTTTTTCTCTAATAATCTTTACTTAAATAAAAACTAAAACTAACCCTAATCTAATGGCTCACTGGGCCTTAAGTAACAATCTCATTAAAGCCCAACAGTTCCCAAAATGAGCCCAAAAATTAAATAAAAACTGTAATGTTGCTAAGTCCTAGGGGATCGATCCCCCACCCTGGGGATCGATCCCCCCAGAGTTGACAAATTCCTTTAAGCCTTATTCAGCTCCATTTTTGCCCCGGGCTATTTGGTTTGCTTCTCCATCTTTGGGAACATCATCAAAGGCCCGAAATTGACCGCTTTGTGCCATTGTCTGAAAATCTTTGCTTAACTCTAAAAAGGCTTAATTGGACCGTTCTTAGCTCATTTTAACTTTATTGCCCTGAAATACACATAAACATAAATTAGGACTAAAACATAAAATTAAGATAGATGCAAAGACTGAAATACCTTAGCTTAGGTGCTGAAATGTGCAACATTTAAGCACTTATCAGATACTCCTGAAGAGCCGGCACACCCAGAACCACAGTGGGAACTTCGAGTCGATGGTTCCTCGAATCAAGCAAGTGCAGGAGTAGGCGTTGTAATGTCAACTCCCGAAGGCACTAAATTGCAGCAATCTATCTGTTTGAAGTTCCCAGCTACAAATAATGAGGCCGAGTACGAAGCATTACTTGCTGGTCTTCGGTTGGCTTGTAGTCTCCAGGTACGTTGCTTAAAGGTTTTTAGTGACTCACAGCTTGTTATAAATCAAGTAACAGGTCAGTACCATCCCAAAGAGGAAAGAATGAAAGCATATAAAGAAGCTGTAGAGAACGTTGCACGGGGATTCGATCAGATCGAATTCTATCAGGTACCTCGTGTTGAGAATGCCGAAGCAGATCAATTGGCCACATCAGCGTCATCTTCAAATGAGGATCTGATTCGGATTGTGCCGATTGACGTTCTGGACGGGCCCAGCATTAATCCTCCGCAGGAAGTAATGGTAATTCCAGTTATTCCTCGAGAACCATGCTGGATTGATCTATTGGAAACTTACCTCAAGCATGGGGCTCTTCCAGACCAGAAGTCCAAAGCACGGAAGCTCCGTATAACCGCAACTAAATATGCCATCATTAACAATCAGTTATACCGAAAGTCATTTTCAGGTCCTTACCTGAAATGTTTAAGCCCTACTGAGGCTCTTGTGGTGTTGAGACAAATCCATGACGGAGATTGTGGTAACCACTCCGGGGGCAGATCCCTCGCGCATAAAGTCTTGACTCAAGGTTACTTATGGCCGTACTTGTCCTGGAATGCAGAAGAGTATACACGAAGGTGTGATAAATGTCAACGTCACGGTCCTATGAAGCATCAGTCTGCCGAAGATTTGCACGCAATGGCGAATCCGTGGCCATTCGCACAATGGGGGATTGATATGGTAGGCTCGTTACCCAAGACTGTGGAACAAAAGGAGTACGTGCTACTGGCTACAGATTATTACAATAAATGGGTAGAAGCCGAGGCCTATTCAAGTGTGACCCATGAACAGGTAAAACGTTTCCTTTGGAATATCATTTGCCGGTTTGGGGTCCCAAAAGTCATTATGATGGACAATGGTAAGAACCTCGATAATAGAAGTACAAAAAAATTCTTTGCTGAGCATGGAATTGTACAAAAGTTAGCTGCGGTTAGTCATCCATAGGGGAATGGACAGGCTGAAATAACTAATCGGACAATTTTCAGTTGTTTAAAGAAGAAATTGGAGAAACTCAAAACGAAATGGTACGAGAATCTCCCTCGGGTGCTTTGGGCATACCGAACCACACCGCGGCGGCCTACGGGAGAGAGTCCCTTTGCCATGGCTTATGGATCTGAAGCTGTGATCCCAACCGAAGCGGCAGTTCTGTAATACCCCTAAAATTAAAAAGGATAAAATTAGAATTTAAATTTCATTCTATGTGCATTTTTGTCTATTAATTTTGTAATTGTTGTATTTTGTTTGTTTTATTTTAAATGCCTTATTTGGTTAATTATTTAATTGTCTTATTTTCTTTATTTGAATTATGGTTTGTTTAGTTATCTGAGTTATTGTATTGTTTGTTTTATTTTAAATTGTATTTTAAATGCCTTATTTGGTTAATTATTTAATTGTCTTTAATAAGTGCTTAAGTAGAAGTTGAATTAACAGTTTTCAGTTAGGGTTTCTTGGAGCCGTCATACAAGTATTTAACGTGTATGTGACTTAAGTTTGTGGGCCGACTCTAGTTTAATTAGGGTTCTGCCTTAGCTCTAATTTAATTAGGGTTTTCTAAAGGCCTATATATATTCGTGTATGAGTTTCACTAAAGGTTTTGGAAGAACCCTATTAACGGCACAGTAAAAATAGAGCGTAACAGAGAGAGAGTTGAGAGAACAGAGGCAATGGTAAGAGCTACCAAGGACAAAAACAGAGAGGGTCAAAGGAGTGTTGTGGTGGATTAGATCACACCCATAGGAGGCTTGAAGGAAGTTAGTAGTTGCCGGAAACTTAGAGACGACGCAGGGATTTCATAACTGAAATCACAGGCAAGTTCTTCTCTTTCTCCTTCTCTTTGGCTCGTGTTCTGTGCACCTAGATAATCTTTAGGGTTTAATCAATCAATAACTGGAAGTTATATGTTTAATATATGTTATATGAATGATCTGTTTGTTGTAAATTCAAATTTGTTCACAGTTCATGTATTAACCGCTCCCAGTTTTGTTCTTAAAAGCATATTAAGTTCTGTTGTAATGTTTGTTACTGTACTTGCTTCCATCTTCTATAAACGAACCATGGGGATATTAATGGGGTGATAGAAGACCTTAGGTTCAGTATTATTGAGGAACAAAGAGGTTAGAATGGAGCTGTGATTGCAAAATAGTTTCAGTGTTGTCTCTAAAGCATGTCTAGTTCGGTAGCAAATTTGATCTATGTAATTGATTTAAATGGTTAAAATCAAACCTTTGGGATGCTAGTGGATATTAATAAGACCCTTAGGATCAGTTTTTGAAACCAACTGAAGGGCAGAAACATGCCGGAGAAGAAGTAGAAAGTCAGAACGGAGCAGAACGGGGACAGAGGCTCTCAAAGGAGGTGTGTAATACCCCTAATTTTAAAAGGATAGTCTCGGTATTTATTTATTTATTTTAATTGTATTTTTTAATTATTTAATTAATTATTTGACTAATTACTTATGTGTTTAATTGAATTAGGTATTACTTGATTATTTGATTATGTGTCTATGTATTATTTGTATTTGTCTATGTGTTAATTGTTTAATTAGATTATGTGCTTAAATGGTGTTTTGATTAATTGTAAATTAAATATTTTCTTTTCTTTTATTATTTTATTTTATTTTTCTTTTATGGTTATGGTTAGTAGTAATGGGCCAACCAATTGGGTCCCATGGACTACTTGGATAGGAGGTTGGATGTGTATGAATTATTACCCATGGATAATGTATGTGTATATATATAGATATATATTATATACATATATAAAAAGGAAAGTAATTTATTAATTATTTTTATGGTAACTTGGGTAGTAATATTTAATCTGATATATATGTTTATATTTAAATAATAAAAATATACATTAATTTGATACGTGTTATGTTTTAAGTTACTTTATAATATTATGGTAACTTAAGTATTATTGGATAATCCGTTAATAAATAATGGAATGTGTATAATTTATTTATTTAATAAACATATACATAAATTATATGCGTAACATATTTTACTTACCTTTTTTAATATATATATATAAGAGAAAGTAATTTATTAATTACTTTTATGGTAATTTCGGTAGTAATATTTAATCTGATGTATATGTTTATTTAAATAATAAAAATATACATAGATTTGATACGTGTTATATTTTAAGTTACTTTATAATATTATGGTAACTTAAATATTGTTGGATAATCCATTAATAAATAATGGAATATGTATAATTTATTTATTTAACAAATATATACATAAATTATATACGTAACATATTTTGCTTACCTTTTTAATATTTTTATTTTCATTTTTTTTTTAGTTGACTTGGATTGGGAAAATGGTTAGGGTTATTTTATTTAACTTATAAATATATAGCTATAGGTTGTAAAAGGGGGTTAGAAATATTCACGTGATATATACTGGAGAGATAGTATTAGAGAGGGAAGGAGGAAAATGAAGGAATGAGGAGAAAAACCCCGTAGAGAGAAGATCAAGGAAGAAGAAGTTTAACTTTCGATCCGAAAGTTTAAGGCAAGTTCTTCCTCTATCTCTTTCCCTTTGATTCGTGTTTCTGTACATGCCTAGGAAATTCCAGGATTTATTAAACACATAAAATTAAATAATTATGCATGTTTAATTGGGTTAGAACATAGGTTTTATGAAATTGGTTCATATCTGTTATTGTGTTATGAATTGATAAAATGCATGATTTTGATTTGATTTCTTATGTGAATTTTTACATGTTTAAATTATGTATTTTTCATATCTGTGGAATGATGGAACGTAGAAACATGCATAGGATTCCTGAACATTAAATAGGAACTAGAATTGGGTTTTAATAAATTTAAATAGACTCAATCATAATGATATTTGCTATTTGAATGTTTTAAACAAACGAATGGATTTAATCTTTTAAAATATTTTAGCAATTGAGATTAAATGTGTAGGATGAATTGGATATAGAGAATCCTTATTTAACGGTATAATAAAATATCATCATGTATAAGATTCAGTTTGTGTAGGACATATGATATAGGAAGTTTAAAGAAATAATGAGTCATTCCTATTATGTGATAACTTGATATCATATTTATCATAGTTATTTATGGAATGTTTGATGTATTTCCTTAATTGTTACATTAATTGTTGGATTGTGTGGTTTAATGCACCGGTATGGGACGGTGGCATTTTAGGGATGGATTAACTTATCAGTTAAGTCCTACCTATTTTATATAAGGGAATGGATTAACTAAAATGTTAAATCCTACTTATATTTAAGTCAAATCAGCTGAACAAGTTGAATGACTTATGGAGGATTAATTTATTATATAAGGGAATGGATTAACTAAAATGTTAAGTCCTACTTATATTCAAGTCAGGTCAACTGAACAAGTTGAATGACTTATGGAGGATTAATTTATACTGGATAGGATGGTTACTAGATTTTATATATATAAGTATGGTGCCATGATATGAGCTTGAGTCTCAGGATCAATGGTTAGGGCGCGTATATCGCCAGGGATGTGTAGCTAGATATAGTGTAGTTGTGTACCTGGTAGGTCTAGGTACTCATGCCCACTATATGTGCGTTTTGCATGTTGCCTACTATTCAGGTTGAGACAACCCTATAGTCTAGTGAGGTTCCTTTAGTGTGTATATATATATATACGGACTACTAGTTACTGTTGGATTGACTAGGATGTATACAAAACGTTAATTCATACCTTATGGATTTTAATTGGTGAACAATTTTATCTGTTTAATCAATTATATGGATTTTGTGGATTGTATGCACCGGTATGGGACGGTGGCATACTAGGGACAGACTGATTCAAAATAACTCAGTCCTACCTATTTTGGATTAAGGGTTCGAATTATAAAAATATAATTCTCCTTATATTTAAGTCTGTGAAGCTGAATAAGCTGAACGACTTATTGGATTTTTTGTGGATGGATATGAATGAATTTTAAATACATGTTTATGGTACCACGAGAGGAGCTTGAGTCTCAGACTCGTTGGTTAGGGTGCGTATATGCAGTGGATGCGTAACTGGCTATAGTAGATTGAGGTGTACCTTGTTAGGTCTAGGTACTCATGCCCACCTTTGGGTGCGTTTTCGCATGTTGCCTTCTATTCAGGTTAAGACCCCTACTGTAGTCCAGTGAATGTCCCTTAGTGTGGATATATCTATATGTATGGACTAGATAGCTATTGTTGAGATATCTAGGGTGTATCTGCGTATCGAGTCACTGTTTGGATTGTAGTTAGAGAAGAATTTGCATGTGGGCCTGACCCACTCTTATTTTTACAGGCGTTTGTTAGTTCCAGACTTGGAGCTGGATCGTGCTGAGCAGATATAGTTATTCACTCCACTGATGACCAGGGTTTTATTTTATATTTTAGACTTGGGTTTCATTTCCAATCTTTTGAGTTCAGTGAGATATTTTAGGGGTCCATTAGATGGATTCCCGAGTTGTAATAGAAATGGAGAGGTATGATGTATCAGAATCATTCTTTGTTAATTAAATTTTATTCTGAGGTTTTTGGATTATTATTCTAGTTTCTTTTCAGCAATTTATTTATTCTTGTTTTTCTTATTTGTATTCTGTGTTCGATTATTGCTAATTGATTTGATATCCTCGAGTTATCGGGCGTGGGCCTGGCCAACCCGCATCCGGAAATTCAGGGGTATCACAAGTTCCGACCTTTTGGACATTCTTATTGCTTGAAGGAAACAATAGTCAGCAGCTCGAACATAGTCTCGATCTCCTGGACGAAAAAAGGGATGCTGCAGCAATTAGGCTTGCTTCATATCAGCAACAGTTATAACAAACGCGTCAGATTCAGGAGCTTTGTGGTAGGCGATTGGGTTTTGAAGCAAGAAACAGCTCATGTAAAGAAACTTGAACCTAATTGGACCGGACCCTACAGGGTTACCGAAGTAGTGGGGAAAGGAGCATATCGTTTGGCCGAAGCTAACGGGCATCCCATTGCGCGTCCTTGGAACGCAATACACCTTAAAAGGTATTTCCATTAGATAAGTTTGTCAATTTTGCTACAAATTCTTCACAAATAAGGCTGAGTATGTCCACAGTTAGCCAAACTTTTCTTTATTTTGCTTCTATCATATTCAGTACAATTCTACTCTATTTATTTCTTTCCAT